ATAGTGGGATTCACCATCACATTATAATGTCCCCGCGGCTGAAAGGGCGAGCATGTTTGGTGTGACGGGGATTTAAACCCGCGAACCACAGTTTGTGAGTTGAGCACCCTAACCACCTGACCATGCCGGGCCCCACTAAAGTTACCTCATAAGTGATAATGTTCCTACACTGAAAATATACTTCCAATAGGTACTTACTTCTTCTCACATACATAGCTATTCTCGTTCAGTGCCGCCCTCTATTTGTAAAAGGTTTTTCGCATGCCACAAACTTTTTATTCTTACATACCCTCATATGGTTTAACTGATTCATGCATGTAAGTTATCATGCGACAAACCTCCACCAATAGACGTGCCTCACACACACGTGACTCCCTCTGTGCTATTCTATCTAACTATCACAGAAAACTAAGCACTGGTAAACAGTGGGTAGAAAGGGTGGAAACTGTGAGAGGAAGAAAGTATCTGTCGGAAATATATTTTCAGTGTAGGAAAATTATAACTTCCAACAAGGCCTTACTTCCACTCACATACAGAGCTAGAATCCCACATTGAATAGGTGGAGGGACCGATGCAAGGGAGAAAAGAGAAGCATCCTCCGAAAGCATTTGAAGAACACCCCCTTAGAGGGAACCATCATAGAAGAGGATGATATATGGAAGACCTCACCACTTCTGTACCAGGTATACACTTTACCCACATGTGGAAAAGGTGAGACTGAGATGGGCAGAAAAAAATGAGGAGCACATCTCATCGTGAGTAAAAGAAGGGATGTACCCAAGGTATATAGTGGTTAGGACACAAGACCATACAAGGCAAGTCAACTGCAGGGGTGGGACGAAGATGATACCATTGGTAAGTCAACATCAATCCAAGTCAACTGGGCACATTATCAGAATGAAATATAGATATATCCCTCACAAATCAAACATACCCGAACCATCCCCCAGCATAAAGACATTGAGGGGAGCGTAAGAGAAGGAAGCAGAGCAACAATCAAGTGCACCCATCCTGACCCACAACCAATGTTCCCTCTAAGCTGTGCGGCCACACAACAGCCAATCAAATGCTGCACACTTCATTATTCCAGCCTCACACATCCTCAGAATGAGACAAGAAAAGCCAGTCATCCATGTAATGGTTGAAGTGCAACCCTTGAGTGTGCATAAGACCTGCAAAAGCCTTGACCACCCAACAAAAGACATACGGGGCTGTAGCAAGCCAAAAGGAAAAATGTGAAATTGATAAACCACCCCGTGATGAACAAACCAAAGGTAGCATCTCGATATGGGAATATGGAGATTGACATCACCCTTGGTCATCCATAAACCTGGAGAAAAAGCCCACCTGAGAGTGAGAAAGGTAAAACAAGGTAGCACCAAGAGGCAATTGAGGCATGACAGATCTATCTCAGGCCACCAGTCTCTGGCTTTCTTGGGGATCACAAACAGCCTGGAATAAAACCCTAGTGAATGGTGAACTACAGGTTCGATGGTATGCTGAGACAGAGAGAAGATCTTGTACTGCCTCATACAGATACTGACATCTAGGAGGATCCTGAGGTAACAGAATGGAAATGGGTATCTGAGACAATGGAGAAGGGGAGAGGAAATGGGTGAAAAGTCCCTCTTATAAAACTTGAAAGACCCATAGATCCCTGGCAAAATCTCATCATAGATGAACAAACTGGGATAAATGAACCCCCACCATACCAGAACCCACAGAATAGTCACCAATACTGTTGGTGACATGACACTCGTCATCAAAGAAAACAATGAGAAGAAGATCCCCTTGTGGAAAGAACTGGTAAGGGTTGAGAAGGAGTAGGACAAGTAACAGATATAGGGGATTGTTGAAGCTCTGTGTGAGATAAACGATCAGCCAACAAGGAAAAAGTTGAATGCTGTCTCACAGATTCCACCTGAGATTCCAAAGTTGCCGGAAGATTTCCAAAGATCGACTGATGGAGAAAAGAGGCAAAGATAAGGAGATGGTAAACGAATGTGGAACAAAACTGCATTCTCCCCAAAAGGTCCCAACAATTGAGCATTGTAATGTTTACTGATAATCTGCCAAATTTCGTTAACTTTCGCTTACTAATTGAAAAGTTACAGCATGAAAACCATAACAAGCACAAAATAGTTACGAGGTTAGTCCCAGGGACCGAGCCCATGCTGAAAGAGTTAAGGCATAACTTTATTCAGCCAAATGACTATGAACTGTTCTGTATTTGGGTTATGTAGTTAGAATATATTTTCTCACTCTTTCTTCTTCCTCTACTTTAGCTCTAGCTGCTTCCTGTTTAGCTTTTTTCTGAGCAAGTTTCCTCTGTTTTTCTTCATCTTTGAATTTCTGAATTCGAGGGTCACAGGCATAGGCATTGTCTGTAAATAAAATATATAGAATTTGTAGAATACCAAAAGCCATTGTATCATACATAAAACTATTCATTTTATAGTAGTTTGTTCACAAAAACAAAACTTTTATACCTTAAAAACCTGAACCGTGAAAAACATCACTAAAATGTAAAGAGAGAACAGGCACAATTACCAAATATAGGTAAATCGTAAGTTTAGTTTTAATACTAAGATCTTAAACCCATCAAACACGAACAATAAAGTTTGTACAATCAGTGATTATCAACTAACCAAAAACAAAGAAATTTTCCTCATTTCACCTTTCTGAAGGGAAATCGAACCTAAACTTTTGTTCCTACTTTATTTGTTTTAAGAATATTTATTTAATATGCACACACTTTTACAAAGTTCAATTATGAAACCATTCCTGTGTTTTGCTACTCACCAACAAGTTGTCGAATTCGAGACATTTCTTCTTTTTTTCTCCTTTGTCTCGCTACCTTATTTTGTTTTTCTATCCACCTTCGTTCTTCACGGCTGCAACAGAACATTATAAAAAGTTTTAAAATATTAGAATATTTTTTGTTTATACAATTGTATCTTATAATAAAGGTTTCTTGATTTTATTACTTTAAATTTGAAACTAATAACTCTTGCAAGTTCATCATAGAAATTAGCAACTTTCTACAGGTTAAAAATATGGTTAACAATTTATTTTCTGATAATAAGTGACACATCATTCCAAGTTATTTTAATGAAAAGCCACATTGGGCTACCTGCTGTGCCTGCCACAGGGAATCAATAGATTCTAGTGTTGTATATCTTTTAAACTTACTGCTGACCTGCTGGGGGACGTCATTCAAAAACAGTCTATTCAATTTTAATCAGATTTTCATTTTATTACTTATCATATTTAATGTGCTATCTAACTAAACATAAAATTAATACTTTTTAAATGACATTAAAAATACAAGGTTACAGAATGTCTGTTTACCTGTTTAAAAAACAAAATACAGTCTAGTTGATCTAAATGCTACATAACGCAATGACTTCATCTGATGTAACAATGAACATTTTCTATGCATATCACTGCACCTAGTAAGCATCCATATTAGGTTTATACAATACCAAGTTCCCTAAATAAAAGTTTATTAGGTTTATACAATACTAAGTTCCCTAAATAAAAGTTGGTACTATTCACTAAATCTTGAAAATATCTAATCTGTGTTCAGTCCATTACTACAGAAGTTACAGGTAGGAAGATCATGTCAAACCACACGATATCAGTTGGCCTTTGTATACTTTATACAGGATATGAAAAGGATTCATATAATGCCTCATTATCCTTACAACAGACATACTATTGTTAGTTTTCTAAATGGTAAAACAAACTATGCCCATCTTACAAGTGTTTTCTGTCTTAACATGTTAATGATTATTAAGAATGGCTTCACAATTCTGTCTTGAATTTACTGACAAATTATATTGACTAAAACTGACATGCCCCCACTAAGATTTTTTCCTAACTACTACGTCAAAAACAAAAAGAGTAAATAAAAGAATTAGGTTCTTTTAATATAGGAGTATATGGAGCAAAAATAGTACTTTATTTTTGGTAAACTAGGTTAAGATAATTTTTACAGAAAAGAATGCTCAATCCTCATTGTTGTTTTAATATAGGAGTATACGGAGCAAAAATATTACTTTATTTTTGGTAAACTAGGTTAAGATAATTTTTACAGAAAAGAATGCTCAATCCTCATGGTTCTTTTAATGTAGGAGTATACGGAGCAAAAATAGTACTTTATTTTCGGTAAACTAGGTTAAGATAATTTTTTACACAAAAGAATGCTCAATCCTCATGGTTGTTTCACTTGTCATTCTGTTCAGCCAATACTTATCCTTTTTCAGTAACTTTCCTTCAATCACTTCATTGTATGAGCAAGTCAATAATTCAGTCCATACTTTTAACACATGATTGATTATTTCACATTTAACTTAAGTTCTTGCTTATCTTATCAAACAATTCAAGCACATTTAAATCATTAACTAGAAATATATTAGTTTTGATAGTTCCTTCCATATCATTTTGACTTATGGCTCACTTTTCTCCTTTTTCTTTCTCTTCTTCGTCTAAGTAGGAGAACTCCCGCCAAGAATCAAAGTCATACCTGTGTAGAAGTGACAATATTTAATATATCATCACAATGAATATAGGGAACGCAAGTAGAATTCAGGCATAATAAATAGATGACACTTTTATTAGAGATACGCTACACAAAAACATTACTGAACCTTGTTACACGTACAGTATATACTTTACCAATTATTTGTGGTATGCACAAGCATTGATTACAATGAAAACTGGTCATTTTCTTGTTTCAACCAAGTGCTAGGTTAATATTTTGACACTTGATTATTAACTGATTACAACAAAGAAATGAAAATACATAACCTTTATGACCTATTCAATCCAAAATTGTTTCTGCCAGCAGAAACAAAACCATAAACTGAAAACAAACACACACCCAGTGGAAATTCTCTTCTTTCTCTCATATTAATCATGCACAATTTGTCACCATATGCATAAAAGAATGTAAGTGGCTAATGAGTGGAGAGGTTAACGCTGTATCAGGATTAGAGGAATCCAGATCACACTATCATGGTGGCAAAAACACTATCTAATTATAAAAACATTCAATAATGTTACTCAAAAGTTATTATTTTCCTATAATGAACATATATTTCCAATAGGTACTTACATACTCTCACATGTATAGCTATTCTCATTCAGTGCTACCATCTATATGCAAAATTTTTTTTTTGCATGCCACAAGCCTTGAACTCCCACATACCCCATGATCAATGTGGTTCAACTCCATCTCGCATGTAAATCATCACGCGACAACTCACACCAATAGGAGTGTAACACACCTTCCTGATACATATGACTCCCTCTATTCAATTCTACTGAACTATCAATTTGAGATCAGACAGAAAAGAAAGCACTGGTTTTTCAGTGGGGAGAAAGGGTGGGAAGTGTGATAGGTGGTAAGTACCTATTGGAAATATATTTTCAGTATAAGAAAATAATAACTTCCAATATGGTACATTACCTTCTCTCACATGTATAACTAGAATCCCACATTGAATAGGTGGTGCGAGAGATAGAAATAAGTATCGTTTGAAAATGTCCAAAAGAACACCTATGAAGTCTGATCCCCATTGGGAGAGGAACACATGTGGGAGACTGCACCATTTCTGACCCAGGTATACTCTGCACCCAATGTGAAAATAGGTACCGCATACACAGGTGGAAAGTGGGAGGAGCACAATCAAAAAAGAAAAGAAAAACCAGGTGGGTTCGTATCTGAGTCACAATATACCGAAATCTCATTCCCAGTGAAGAAAGACTGTAGAAGAGCCATCTACAGACAGGAATGTGGGGAAAGCTCAAATGGATGTGCTCCAAAGTATAGAGTGGCTAGGGCACGACAGACTATACATGGCCGGTCAATTCCAGTCCAAAACCAAGTGGCATCAGGATTACAACTTCCAACCCATTGTAGGAGGAGGGTCCACACAGTCTTCACGTCAAGTTGAGTAGAAAGCTGAGGGGTTCCAGTTGGATTGGATTTGGTTTGATGTGAACTGACACATTGGCACATCTCTTTGTACCATAATTTGGATGTCAGGTTCCTGTATGTGTGGGTGGTTGTGAATTTGCACACATGTGCCCTGTTTAGTAGTTTGGTTTGACATGTATATAATTCCACAACAGCAGCCTCAGGCAGGCTAAACTCTGAGGTGGTGCACTAGAGGGAGAACCTTTACCTCATAAAACATCATCCTCCAGATAGGACCACACAGAAACCCAATCACACATGAAAACACTGGGAGCAGAATTCGGGAAGAAAGAGAAAGGGAAGAATAGACAAATCAAAACAGTTGACAATACCCAATTGTAAGGGTAGAAGGAGAAAGGTCACGTACAGAGGAACAGTGCCAGGGAATGAAAAGGTGGAAACCAGAACCACTAAAGGAGGCCATGCAGGCAACAGAACAATGAAGATCACATACTGGAAAGAGAAGTCTATCTGGAGCAGACCAGGTATAAAGGTGGGAATTAGATGGAAGAGAAAATGGTGAGAAGAAAGAATGACCCTCACGAGCCATCAAAGTTTTGAGGAAAGATCAATCCAAAAGTACCACATGACAAGAAAGTCAACTAATCTGGCTGTCCAGTATTGACTGAGAAAATCCACTGCCAGGGCTTGAGGATGAAGAAGCAGAGACTAAAAAAAGAAGTAATGTGGTGTTGGAGTAAACCCCACTGGTTACATAGTCACCTGAAAACCTGATGGTTGAGAAACCACACCATGAAATAAACCTGGTTGAGACATGTCTTGCAAAGAGATTTATCTGCAGTGTATGGGCCCAATAAAGGTACGAGTGCCCCCCATAGTGATTGAAATAGGCCACAATGGACTGTGACATGTTGGTACTGTACCAGCAGAAAATGAACCAAAGCATGTCATACCACCATAAGCTCCAAGATGTTGAAATGATAAAACATTATGATCTGAGACCATTGCCCAGAAGCCTCTTGTTGATGGACCAACACTTCCCATCTGTGATTGAATGCAAATCTGGATGAGGTGGAGGAAGCAGTATTTCCTTCATTGTGCTCTCCTTGTTCATCCACCAATTCAGATAGCTTGTAAGGGAAGGAGGAAGGGTAAATGGGAAGTCCAAGGGATTGAGAGCAAGATCCCATTGGCCATGGAGATTCCACCAAGAAGAATGCATATGTACCCGACCCAAAGGAATAAGGGCTTCCATAGAAGCCCAAGTCCTCAAAATTGACAGAAACTCTTTTGCAGAAATCAAGGAAGCAGTAAATGCATGGAGAACTGTAAGCACTACTGAATGGAGAAGAAGTGGAGAAGGTTGAGCCCAAATAAGATGGCTCTTGAAAAATACACCCAAGAGGATAAGATAGTGAGTAAGCAAAAGGAAACTTCCTCAACTTTAGAATCCAACCAACACAAGCTGCTACTGTCAACAGCAGATGTGTGTTGAGAAAACTTTACTTCAGAATGAGCTAACAGGAGCCACTCGTCGAGGTAGTGGTGTAAACCCAACCTTACAGGATGCAGAAGTCTGGCTAAAACAGTGACCACCCAATAAAATACATACAATTCTGAAGCAAGCCCAAGAGACCAGACACAAAACTGATAAACAACCCCATAGTGGACAAACTGAAGATAGATCTGGACTGATAAGAAATATGAATATGAAAATAAGCATTCGAAACATCTACCTTGGTCATCCATGGTCCTAGAGAAAAAAAAACCCTAAGTGTGAGAAAGGATTCCATGGGAAATTGGGGAAGATACAGAAATTGTTTGAGGAAGGACAGATGGTTCCCAGAACAAAAAACCTGGAGAAAGTTAGTTGACAGACTTGATAGCTCTCTGTGATAGAATGGCCCGCACAACCTTGTATAGACTCAGACTGGTAGCTGAATCCCGAATTAATGGGAAGGAAATCAGTACAGGAGACAAAGGTGTAGGGGAAAGGAAAATAATGAAAAATCCTTTTCACAAAACTTGGATCACCCAAGAATAGGTAGTGAATAACCACCAGAGGGGAACAAAATTGGCCAAATGTTAACCCGCCGGACCAGAAACTAACTGATAGTCGCTGGAATTGCTGGCAACAATGAACCCTAATGATAGGAACTGGTAAAGGACAGGATGTTGCAAAACAAGAAACAGTTATGATAGAGGTCATGGTATCAGAATAAGACAAAAGAGTAACCAAAGACTTAAGGATCTACACTTGATTCCAAAGACTCTGGAAGATCTACAAAAAGAAACTAATGGAGTCATCCAGAATTCACAAAGATAATAGGAGAAGGTAGATGAACATGTGAAAAGACAGCATCCATCATCCCAAGAAAAGGCCAACAGCAACAAAACCATGAGTGAAGAGATAGGGACAGTGAGGACAATAGAACCAATGAGGAGTAAGGAGGGAAAATGTACCCTCTGAAAACCCCTCAGGGGATTAGTGGAGTGCCTCAAAAAGGAGGTATATGTTTGATAAATAATGTAGGAGAGCTGTAAGGGTAAGACAAAGGTGGGAAAATGGATGTGGGAGAAATGGATAGGATTATCAGGGACATCCAGACATGAAGCTGGTAATAATTTAAGAAGCTGAAAAACACAAACTTCAGCAATCAACATAAACCATTGAAGAAGTCGAGAAAGAGAAAAAAAAACAATAAATAAAGGTAGGTTATCGCAGCACACTACTACAGAAAAAACAAACTGTAGCAAATGAATAAATCAAGTAAATCACTAATTTATAAAAATAAAAAATTATATTAACACGTGAAAAGAGCACCATGGAAAAATGTATGCACTCACTAACGAGAAGTGACAGTTTGGTAGAATCGAATAGAGGGAGCCCCATGTGTCAAAAGAGTATGTCCTATTGATGTAGAGTTGTTGCATGATGACTTACATATACACGAGATGTAGTTGAACCACATTGATTATGGAGTATGTGGGAGTTTAAGGCTTGTGGAATATGGAAAAAAATTTCCATATAGAGGGCAGAACTGAATGAAAATAGCTATACATGTGAGAAGAGGTAATGTACCATATCAGAATTACTGATTACATAAGACAGTTTAATAGTTACAATGCTACTGATAATCAATCACTGGTTGGTGATTATGCCTAACCAATTGTTAAACATGATTTTACAACCAATTCGAACCACTATTAAATATCATTACTTGCAGGGTACAGAAGTGAGAAAGTTACTTATTTTATCCAAAATAACACAGCAATATTCAGGAAAAACCCAGTAAAGTATCTAACTTAAAGTGGAAAAATTACAAGTCACTTTAGACAAGTATATTTTTATAAGTTATAAGCTCACACATATAGCCATTATCAAAAGCAGAGATAATAAATACTGTACTTATGTGTATAATAACAATCAACTAAATTAACATTAACTAATATCTAATATCAGTACACTTGATAATACAGTGCTGCATATCACCTAGCCACACTAAATCAAATCAGCATAAGACATATTTTAACAAGCTTAAAATCAGATGACCAACAAACACAAATCTTTTTTTTTCTTGGAAAAAGATGATATCAGGTGTGTGTAGAACTTAACTATCTCAATCAATTCACTTGTCAGCCCAACCATATATCACACTGGTATTCAAATGATAAATATGAAATACAAAGCAAGTAGGCTAAGTCTTTCTTATTGAAGTTCAATACCCAGTGCATGATTTTTTTTTTATTCAAATCTCACAAAGCTACAATGTATATCTGCAACTCATAAATATATTAAACATTTTAAATGCTAAATTTATAATTTAAACTACCTTTACAAATTTGTGCATTTAAAAAGTGAAAGAACTAGAGGAAGTCCAAAATATAGAAACCTTGGTTATAACTTTAGTAATTCAATGTTGCTTTCAATATTTTTTTAAAAATAAAACACCCACATTTAGAAATAATTTTGTCTACACGGATACACGTTAAAAACAATAAGCAAATTTTTTGCCTTCCCAAATTAGCAAATTACTTTAAATGATAATTTTTTAATCATGCTTTCAGGTGCTTAATAATACCTACCAAAACTTGTAAAACTTGTCCACTTCTTCAAAGGTAGAATCACTGCTACCTAGATGAGGTACATTACGCTTCACAGACCACCTATTACAGAAACACACAATATTTAATTGCAAAGCTTCTTCTATGACCAGATGAGCCCTACAATTTCACTATTAAATTCAAAAATGAGATGTGATAACCTACTTGTCTAAAGCACCTACCTGGTAAGCAAGTTCATGGGCTTGAATCCAACTTAATCCAAATTTGTCCTTTTTTTTACAAAACAATTCTAGCATTAAAATAAATTTGAAGAATGGTTATACTTAGATGAACTGGCAAAATATAGCTCAGCACATCTTACTCATGTTTGTTTGCTTCTTTTTTTTTGGAAATTTCATACAAAGCTAACACAAGGGCTATCTTCACACAGCCATGCCTAATTTTTGAACTGGTAGACTAGATTGAAAGCAGCTAGCCAACAGCACCCACTGGGAACTCTCTGCCTACTCTTATCTGACTGAATAGTGATATTTGTTTATCACTCTTATGGAACACTCACAGCCCCAACGTGCAGGTCATGTTTCTTTACAACAGGACATCATGAACTTTAACCTTCAGATTCACACCCACCCCCCACCTTATAAAAAAAAGAGAATAATATTTATACCTTACTCAAAGTTCAGTGGAATCCTCATTATCAACCCAAGAATGTGTAGATTTGTATCAAATCTTTACATACAGGAATAATTTAAGAGTGTACACTCCCATTGACACTCTGGTCAGGATAAAAAAAAAAGACTAGCTTACTTGGTTTCCGGTTTCCATAATTTGAGTAAAATAAATAACTAAATAATATTAACAACAAACAATTTGGTGTTAAATAAATAATATGATTTTAATAAATGTAATTCAGACTTAAATAAAATTGGTAACAGTAAAATTCATCAATTTAATCTAGTTCACACCAAAATGGTTGCTGTTTCAGTAACTGACAATAAACTACAACTAAGCCTGTTGTATCCCAGCCACACTAATGAGCCCTAGTATTGGGCAAAAGGACACTGGATATAGCAGATATATTTTGGTTGACACATTATTACACATTCTTCTTTACTTCATAAGTTGGTTGTTATAATTATCATGATAGGACTGAAATGGAGAACTGCTCTGCAAACACTCAACATGTCTATCTAATGAAACAAGTAATGTCTTGGTAGCACAATACTCGAAATGCATAAAATCTGTAACATTACCTGGCCAAATTTGATTGGCCAATAAAATGCTCACTTTCAGTGATATAGAAGACACAACTGAAGAAGGAGGACTTTGAAAAGTTAAGCGCTTATATATTTCTGAAAGTTATCTAATATTAATATTACAATTTGGGTTAAATAACATAATAATAACTAGATATAGTAAAACTGGTAAATAAAAGTAAGATGGTCAAAGTTGTAACTTAACAGTTTAGTGGTGTAAGTTTTACTACAACGTTAAAATAGGCTTAGCACGTATAACAGTACTTTAGGCTTAGGTATATTTCAACTTACTGGTAAATTGTAAAACAGGATAAATACATTGTTTTATTAAATAAATACAATCTAAAAACTAGTTTATGGTTTCTTGGTGTTCTAAGAATTAACTTGTTTACTTGAACTTAGATTCTTTAGTTTAAATTTGGCTTATAGACATAGGTAGGTTATAATATAAATGAGGCTAGATACATTTTATTATTAACATTACATATATTGTTCTAATACATTATTAAGTTCTATTTCTGAGTTAAATATAATTAAAATTAAACTTTATTACTTTAGTGTGAAGACAAAGTAGTGATAAAAAATAATTGGTTCTTAAATGTTAGGCTTAACAGTAACAGTGTTAACAATAGGCTACTGGTATTTGGTATTGAGTATTTATTTCCAGGCTATAAGTATAAATACAATGGTTAAGACTAGTGTAGGAGTTACACATTCACAGTTTGTTAGGTGTAATGGGTAGGTTTTATTTGGGAACTTGGGACTGGCATGTACTTTTAAGGAAGCTAGTAATGAAGATGTGCAATTTTTATGCAAAGTTTGTAAATTGGAGGAGACGTTAGAAGCAATCATAATTAAAGTAAAGGCAATAGATAGAGACAAGTGTAGACTGTGGGAAATGGCAGGAGGAGCTAAAGCATTTACTTGTAAGACCTTCAATTAAATTACCTTCACAATTTTAATTGTTAACCTTTTCACATGTTTTCTTTTAATTTTTTTGCTAGACTTTGTTCTATGGAAGCTGTCTGTTACTCCGTGGAAAGCAATAAATCACAGCAAGAGCTCATATCATATTCCACCCACACACAGATAAAGTTAGATAGTTTGAGCTCACAATTTCGAGCAAGTTCCTAAGTTAATAAAATTTTAAACTTCATTTTTAATTTTTACATTTAAGTTATTTCTGTTAACATATATAACAATAAATAAAAATAATGCATAAAAAACAAGAAATTTAGCATTTACTTTAGATATTGAGGCCAGTTTGCAATCAAAGGCCTTGTTTTTCGAAAACCCTATTTTTTTCTCACTATGTTGGTTGTCTAAAATATAACTCATGTGTCTTTCAAGTATGCATTTTAGAACACAAAAATATACTTAGGCACTATAATAGAATGTTTCAAACTACAGAAATTTAATGGCTTTCTAACTAAACTATAAATAACTTTAAAAAATTCTGTTAGATATTCAGAGCTGAGCAACAACAGTGTCACAAAGAATCTGAGGCCAATTATCTAAATAATCCTGCCAAAAACAAAAACCATGATAAATAATGTGTACAGAAAAATAAGTTCTTTCTATTGTTTATCAATTTTTCCATCAAATAAGTATATGTGGTTTAGGTAAGTGCCTTGAAACCTATGACAAAGTGGGAAAATCCTCTCATATGGGTTTCACAAATTGGTTGATATCACAGCATATTAAGATAGCAAGCTTAAAAGTTTGCATTTCTAATTGGTTGAACATTCTGACATCCATAAAAAAAAAGGAAAAATACATTAGGAGAATTACAAGTGCAAGATGCATCATGTGACAAAGTAGAATGAAAATTGAGAATTTATTTAAACATTTCCTTTTCAAATTAAGAAATTATAACTTAGATAATATAAGAATATGAATTATGAACTATGTTTTGATGCCAAGTTTACTGACATAAATTGATAATAAAGTTGCTTAATTATATTTTGAATGTAAATCTGTAAAAATGTCATGACATGCTCACTTTGATCCATGACCCTCCCATATGCATAGAGTTAAGCTGAATATCAGTGAATTAATATAAAACAATAATGAGAAGTCATAATAGCAATATTTCTATTATTTGGATGGTTGAAATAACCAAAACCAGTAATAAAATGAGCTATTAATTTTGATAAGTTGATTATTTTATGTGATAGTAACCAATGCTCATAAGTAATCAATCAATATAATTGATTACCCAGTTTTACCAAGGGGTACATAAAGAAGTTGACATTTGGTTTAATCTCCCACCTCTTATAGGCCTCTATGTGTTTCCTAGACTCAATAACCCCTGAAAGTTTCATGTTGATCAGAGGTTATGGAATTAGTTAAACATATTTGTTGCAGACAGCCAGATACCCAGACACTAGCCACTTTATAATATAGATTATACTACAGAGACACACACATTATAATGACATCAACATTAAGTTAAGAAAGAAAAACACATTTATTTCACACTGCAACTATTTAACCTTGGAAATGCCTGTTCATCATTTCTCTTTAAAGTGTTTTTAAGTAAAAAAAAAAAAAATAACAGATATATTACCCTAACACAACTTATACCACAATTATGTATGTTTCTAATCAACACTGTACGTGATAGAACTTTGGATCATTTAACAGACAAGCTTTTTTTTTTCCAGATATATTACATTAGCAATTAAAATGTTCATTACTTTACAGGAAATATTTATACCTTAATAACATTCTATTTGAGTCTAACCTTTCGTTTCTTCTAAAAACCGGTTCAAAAACTTCAAAGAAGTTATCTTTACTATGATTGTTAATTGATGGTATTTCTTCATCAAACTCTGGATCAACACTGTCATAAGATCGTCTCTTAGTTGGATGGCCTAATATCTCGTAAGCTGAAATGGAGAATTCCTCAAAGTTACAAGTGGCAAGTAGTTAATATCAAACACTGGATGAATTTAATATGTTCATGAAAGAAATCTCTTTGTCACCAAGATCCAATGAATTATCTGGCAATTAATGTGTATGTTAAACAAAAGCTGGCATACGATATATATATATATATATATATATTTGTGTAAATTATATAAATTCAAGACATCTAGTACTAATCTAAATCAAAGGGGTGTCATTGATATTGAAAATTCCAATAATTTTTTCCTCTCCCAGTGGAAATACTTAACCAAACTGCATAAAACTTAGAATACACTTAGTATCTAATTTTGGTTTTAAAAAATCATTAAATATTAATTAGTTCTTCTATCATTTTTTATTTCATGAAATTTCCAAAATTTGGTTGTGGAACATTATTTTGAAAACACATAAAAAATAATTCCTTTTGTAATTAAAAATTTTTTTTAATACAGACTAGAAAGCCCAGTTTACAAAAATCTAGTTAATTTAAACTTGATCGACATTCATTAATTAACCTTATTTTATCCATAATTTATTTTCCCGATTGCAATAGTCACCATTTCTGACTATAAGTTATAGCAAACACTGAGTACCCAATAACTAAGGATCCAACCTTTCAAAATGGCATCAGGCCATGCTAGGTAATATTTTTGCTAACAATATTCTTATCCGAGATCGATTTATATTTCATAAAGTTTGTTTTCAATAAATAAAACATTCTTTTACTTTAAATACTTACATTGTTTAAATAAAATAAACAAAAGTACTCAATAAATAAGGATTAGAGTCATTAGAATACTCTGTCCATCACCTGCCCTACTCACTAAACTAATTTACCTGATACCTCATCATAAAAGAAAATTCCTATAAGTTTTACACAAATTTAGTTTAACACAAAATCAGCAATAAAAATAGTTAATAAATAAACTACAGGAAAAGTTCCAAATCAGTGGTATTCTAAACTTCTCATTAGATTCCACTGTTCTTCTCTGCAGAAGCTCAACTATCCCACAAAACTATAAATTAGATTTCACACCATTTTATTCACTCTAAATTAACATGAATATTTTATAATCTGCTCTACCCAAAGGTATTTGAGCTTTATCTAGTTATTTTCAATGCTGAGCTTCATTTGTAGTTCACATCACATGCTATGAGATCATAAAAGGTGGGTGCAAAGGTCATCCTAATAAAACCAGACAGATAGAAAAAAGTCACAAGAAACAAAACAATTATATTCATTTGTTTCTACAAGTTATAGTAGTCTTACTGTAACAATGACATAACACCAGAGGTGAGTAAAAAAGAATCAAAGTACAAGTGTACATACAAATGATACTAAAACCACTACAACGACTGCAAATTCAGAAAAAAAAATATCCAAGTTCATCAAGTAGGCTTTTGAGCTCATATATTGAGTTTTATTGTTTTATTAAATGGCAGATATACTACAAATAAATTTAATGCACCAACCTCGTGTTATACAAGAAAAATAATCATGATCTAGGTCTTGTACTGCTTCCCCAGCATTTTTGCGTTTGTCAGGATGATGACGCAAAACTTTTCGCCTGTCTGTAAAAGAGAATAACAGTAAGTAATACCTATTTCTACTTCACGTCAAATTTTATACCCAATATTATTGCTGAAACTACAAATAAACTGTAACATTACAATCCTTATTGAAAAAAAATACCCAAACATAAAATCATTATGAAAACAACTTAAAAAAATCAAACAAAATACGTGCATATCATTCATATATAATCACATATATTGCATATAGTTACACATACAGTGTACTGTATTCCTCAAATGTTTGAAATGCCAAGGTAAACAGACATGTGCTAAAATTATCAAGAAATTAAACTGGTTTGGAAAAAATCATGCACTTGTTTTATAAAAATAGAACAAGTTGGGTCACTATATCTAAAACCTATGGGTTCTCATTACATTTTAAAGAAAGAGAAAAGAATCAGTGTCTGGCAAACCTCACTCTGGCTGCCCTAAAACAGAGCCAACAAGGCCACGATTAGCCCTTTACATACAAACTCAGTAACCTTGTAACCACCATGTAATCGTGAAACTAAACATACTATAGCTCTGAATAAACCAAGTGCATCTGTACTAAATTTGGAAAGTTTTTAGAATATAATACAAGTCATGCCTGGAGACGGCTTGAATGGGTAATGAAGAAAAACTTTAATATAAGTTTAACATAACAGCAAATGTACAAGGTTTTGTCATCATCAGGTGACAAAGTTCTCTTCATTACCCATTCAAGCCATCTCCAGCCATTATTAGTCTCAAAGTGGGTTCCTCGTCATCGAAAACAAAAATAATACAAGTCAGTTTTACAAAAAAAATCTTAATTTTTTAATAATCTATTTTTATTAACAATTTGTCTGTGAATTTACAAAACATTTACTGAATCAACCTGAATGCCAAGCTAAGAGTAAGAATACTTATTTCATCCAACGGCTGTGTATATATATATATATATATATATATATAGATAGATAGATAGATAGATAG